TTAATAATGACATAACTAAAAGTCGTTCATTACACAATGCTTAGTGAAATCCCACATTGACGTGCTTCTGGCAAAAAGACACGAGGTGGGACATGCTAAAAATTCTACTCCACCCTTTCACCGCCTCTACATCATTTGGCCAAATCCATCGCGCAATGTGCAGTTGGCAAAATTAAAATGGCAGCTTAAGCTATTAAGTGAGCAGCTTTTAATCATTGGCTGCAGGAACTCAAGGTTGGTGGAATAGAAGGGGAGGGATTAAAGTCTTTGAACTGCAGAGCGAAATCTCCACTCTGATCTCAGCACAGGGCCCTGCTGCTGCTCGCCGGGATATCCCAACTACTGCACGCTTTGCCGAAGAGCCCGACGGGAGTCCATGGTGCCCACATTTCTTTCAGAGCGCGGAGTCAGGGATGCAGCGTCGCCATGGGTCTCATGGAGTTTTACCTGGAGATTGATCCAGTCACTCTAAACCTCATCATCCTCATCGCCAGCTACGTCATCCTGCTTCTGGTCTTTCTCATCTCTTGCATCCTGTACGACTGCCGTGGCAAAGACCCTTCCAAGGAGTACGTTTCTGAGCCCGCAGCCCCTCAGCAGCAGTCTCCCATCCGGCTCGTGGTGATGCAAAACTCCCCGGCCTCGTCGCGTTACAACGAGCAGAACAACACAGCTGCCTCCAACTTCGCACCTCTGACCCCTGACATGCGCGAGAAGAGGAGCACGCTGGTCTGACACATCCACAGTCTGCTGATAAGTGACTTTCTGTCGGTTTTCCCTTTTGGACACATATTCAATCTCATAGAAGTGAATAAATGCTCAAAATTGAACCTAATTTGAGCTGAAACAGGTAAGATACAATTGCTTCTAACTGACCAGAATATATGACCCATTTATGCAAATTTTTTTATTTGACATTTTTTATTTGTGCAATTTTGACACAAGATTTATAATATTTTCATTATTAATGATAGGAAAACCAAGACCTATTTTACACACTGACATTATTCAGTAGCCCCTTTATAGATCTCTTAATGACGGGATACAGGATAATGCTTTTTAAAAACCATAAAAAATGTATCAAGAATTTTATCGAAAGGATGAATAATTTGTTTAAATGCTAAACTTTTAATAAATTATTTATTAAAAATGTATTTAACATTACATATGTATTTAATATTATTTATATATGTATATATATTTTATATTTATAGTTTATTAAACTGAATTATTATTGCAATAGCATATATTATAGACATATTTAATATTGCAATAATGTTAGGTATATTAGTACTCTTGGGTAAATTACACTACATAAGTGACAAAAAAGATGAAATAATATTTAAAATGAGTAATTCTCCAACACCATTTTCACAGACATATTCTTTTTCCCGGTAGAGAAAGTGGACGACATGATGAATTCTTTCGAATATATGGCCATTAACAGGAAGAAGGCATTTGGTAGCACAGGGATTAACTGCAGCAACATCAAGTGTCTGTACTATTGCGTCATCATCCGAGTAAACATACAAACCAAAATGTGACCATAATGTTTTATGCACTATGGTCTTGACTTTATCCAGATAAGATGGTTATATAAATACAGTATTGTCAAATTTAATTCAAGTTACTTAAATTGTAAAATGCAAAAGAAGAGTAGTTTTTATGGTCATTTTGCATCTATTCATCTTTGGTGGGTCAAATGTTGCAACTATAGCTCATGACATGATTTTGATTTACTACACTTAAATAAGCACATTATTTGCTCTTTTGTGTGCAAATGAACCATTTTTGTTGCCTATATAAATGTGGCATAGCCATCCTTTTATGATGCATTTTATAAACCAGTTTGACAGACAGCAGGTGTATCATATCTGCAATATTTTGATTGCAATATATTTTGCTCTAAATGTAAACATGTCCAGATTTGATAAATAAATTAATAGCATCTTAAAAGCATTAAAAAGCAAGTATACACTCTAAAAAATGCTGGGTTGTTTCAACCCAATGTTGGGTCAAATATGGACTAACCCAACTGTTGGGTTAAATTTTGGTTACATTTTTAAATTAGCTTTTTAACCCAACAGTTGGGTTAGTCCATATTTGACCCAACATTGGGTTGAAACAACCCAGTATTTTGTATGTCAGTGTATGGTCTGGAAAATATTCATCTTAATGTACAAAAAGGTTGCCAGATTTAAGTAAAGACCAGTGCTATTTTTTTTACTTCAGATAATAGTTTTATGATCAAATATGTATTACCCCTTAAAGATAACCAAACAAACCATAGAAGTTATTTTTAAATTAAAATTACAGTCTACTGTTTGTTTGATTGTATGTTTATTTATTTTGTTAAATATACAGTTTTAGCATATCTGCCATTGTTGATATCAGTCTGGGCTGTTTATGTGCAATATTGCTGACATCACATTAGCATAGCATGAAATCTTGCTGATAACCTGTTGATTTCCATACTTGTTTCTGACTGGCATTAATAGGTTTATGCTACTATAGAATATCCTGTCAAAAACAAATATCAAATGAAACATTGCAGGTATTTATTATATGACATTTCTATAAACCTACATATTTTTTTGATCTCCATTTAGCACCTGTTTAAAGGGACAGTTTTCACCATTAGAATTACGTAACACGACCCTGTGACATTCAGCAGTACACTGATAATACAAATAGCATTTGCCACTGGAGGTGCAGTCAGTAAAACTTTAATGGTGGTCTGTTCTCTTCTCTATTTCAGAGCGTCCATCTGCATTCATTAGTTTATTGTGGACAATTTCATCATGGAAATGGAGTTATTTTATCCTCTGGACACTGGATAGAGGCCAGTAGAAGACACATGTGCATGCCTGAACAGTGCAAATGTCTGGACACGTGTACAGTCATAATGTTATCTGTTGAAGAAATGACATGTGATTTTGCAGGTTTGTCAAATGCATGATTGTTGCCCAAGTAGTGTACAACACTTCAGTATATAAGTTATACATTGTGAAGTGTTGTGTAGATGTGTAAACAGATAGGTATATTATAAAGAATACATTTACAATAACACAATAATATTGTCTCAGTTAAGCAATACATAGGACATTCTAATTCAGTCAACATTGATGACACCACTTGGCTAAATCAGATGCATTTTTGCTTTTTTCCGAAGCAAAAAAGTACTTTGCATTCTGTGTATGTTATATTTTGATAGTAGGCATTGTGTGTTCCCCAGGAATCAAACCCATGACACTGGCATTGCTAGCACTATGATTTTGAGCAATTTTGAGCTACAGTAAATCATCTAAAATGCAATATATTTATGAAGTATAATAATAGATGTTCTTTTCTGGGGAAAAAAGAAAAAAATAGTTTTCAGCAAATACATTTTGTTTGACAATCAAGGGATAAAAAAGTGGTGATATTTAATTACTGTTCTTACTAATATAACATTCAGAGAACTGTATTCTCAATTTCGGAATAAAAGCAAATACATTTTTTTCTAATCAGACTTGTGCTTTTCTTTGCATGTGTCTATGGAAGGTTATTTCTGCAACAAATGAAAAAAGTCATTGTGACTTTAAATCTCACAATTCAGAATTTTTCTTTATTCTAACTCAGAATTCTGAAAAAATAAATCCTAATTCAAACTAAAAATTCAGAGGGGAAAAAATTTAATTCTGAGATGTAAACTTGCAATTGTTTTTACTTTTTTCTCTGAATTCTGAGTTTACATCTGAGTCTGACTATTTATTTATTCTAACTCAGCATCCAGAGAAAAAAAAAACACAATTCCGAGATGCAAACTCAGAATTCCGAGGAAAAAAGTCAGAATTCCTAGAGGGAAAAAAAAAACAATTCTGAGATGTAAACTTGCAATTTTTACTTTTTGCTCTGAATTATGAATTTACCTCTTGCAATTCTGATGGGAATTCTTTTCTCGGGAATTCTGACTTTTTTTCCTGCAATTGTGAATTTACATATCACAACACTTTTCTCAGAATTGCAAGATAAAAAGTCGCAATTACTTTTTTTCGTTTTTTATCCTGTGGTGGAAACAAGCTTCCATATGTATCAATATGGTAAGTGCTGTGCTGCAACGGCTCCTGAATCCGAGTAAATCTTGAATCATTTTAATAATTCCTAACTGAATTTGCAGAGAAAATAGGTCTACGTCAATCTACCAATTGCATGTGGCTAAAATTGAACACTGGCCCTCAATTGATCAGGGTCAGTTATCCTGTGTTGGCCATGAGCTGGAGAGGGCAAGCAAGGGTATGGACAGTGGAGGATGCGGATGTGACCAGTGTAAGGTTTGTAATTCCTGTTGCCTGTCCTTTCTTTCAGATGGATTGCAGCCAAGCAGAACGCAGGCTGGGATTAATGTTAGATCCCAATCTGCTCCCTCTGCATTTACAAATGGCTTTATATAACTCCTCGTCTATTTGATAAATGCCACATAATCCCATAGGAAGTCATCTGTGTTTGTCTGGAGTAAGAGGTTGTTTAGGCTACACCCAGAAGCAGCAAGTACTGGAGGTCTGCTCTGAACACATGTCATTGCAGGAATGTTGTGGCCGTCATGCTGTTGACAGGAAGCCCATTTTACAACATGCTAAAGCTTTAGAGAGAGCATGACTGCTTTCATGCATGTCAAAGGGATGTACTGCTTAGCGGAATATATTCTGAAATTAATGGCTATAGTTTCTATATGTGGCCTACTATATATACAGTGGGTACGGAAAGTATTCAGACCCCCTTACATTTTTCACTCTTTGTTATATTGCAGCCATTTGTTAAAATCATTTAAGTTAATTTTTTTTCCTCATTAATGTACACACAGCACCCCATATTGACAGAAAAACACAGAATTGTTGACATTTTTGCAGATTTATTAAAAAAGAAAAACTGAAATATCACATGGTCCTAAGTATTCAGACCCTTTGCTCAGTATTTAGTAGAAGCACCCTTTTGATCTAATACAGCCATGAGTGGGATTTTAACCCAAGAATATTGTCCTTCGAATTAGATGGGCAGGGGTGAGGGAAGTTGAGGAGCACCCGGGTGATCTCACAGAGGGCCGTGTTGAGCTTCATACTTGATTAAGACGTTTTTACACCGCCCCAGCTCTCTCCGTAGTTCGGAAACTTCCTGTCGGAGAGCCGCGTTCTCTTTCTCCAGGAAACCAGCCCGGATGGCAATCTGATTCTCCTTTAGACGTCGAGCGTCCCGTGATCTCTTGGCGGCCGTGTTGTTCTTTCTGCGCCGTACCCAGTATTTTTCATCCTGCTCAAAATATGCAGAATAAAAAGGATGGGGAAGAGATGGGAGCGCCTAGTTACATTATATCAAGATTACTCTGATTATTTAGTGTTTTTAACAGTTACGTTAACCCTATAAAGCCTAATGTATCATAAAAAAAGCCTCTAAATTGTCAACATGATCAAAATTTTGCTGAAAATCCAATTTATGAGAATCGTTCTGTCTGACTGATAATTTATTCTTTTTGGAGTACTTTTTACAAGTAAATACCATTTCAGTCTTTTTTCTTCTAATTTAATGCGTTACTTTCTGTGTAATTAGTGAGAAACGTACTAGCAATTTCTGAGTCAAAATTTTTTATACACCAATTTTTTTGCAGTGTGGTACTTTTTTCTTTTGCTGTGAAATCTTCAGTTTTTTTTTTTATAAATTAAGGTATGATTATATTTGTGTGTGTGTGTGTGTGCGTGTGTATAAACTTTAGATAGATAGATAGATAGATAGATAGATAGATAGATAGATAGATAGATAGATAGATAGATAGATCGATCTAACTACTCTTTGTTCATAAAATTGCATATTTTTACTCAGTTTGGGCCTGTGTGTAGTTATAAGCTCTATATTCTGCTATATCATACTATTTTAACCATAAAAGCTTGATGTATAAAATATGATGCTTAACAAAAAACATATTTTTCGGATTTTACGGAAGGTTCCATAAACGGCATCGTTTTATTAAAAAAAAAATGTTTGGACTATTATTTCATATGTCGGGCCTTACAAGGTAAATAGTTTCTACACAACTAATTTAGATTTACAACAGATGATTATGACCAATTATCATTGTGATGACGAGTTTTCTCACGCATTCGCTGCCGTGCAATCAGCTTTGAGCAATTTACTACTCTGTAAAGCTGGGTAGGAATCCACTTTTATTTGAACAAATTAAAAACGGCAAATCCTTTAATCCTAAACCCAGCACAACTGGAGCGATACCAGGAAAAAAGGAAGATCACGTGGGTCAGGCCGCCGAAGGATGAATGAACGAACATAAGCTTCTTAGCAAGAGCCTGTTGCCCAGCTGGTCAATGGCGAAGGGTGAAACGGGTGACCAAACATACTCTGTTGGGGGCTGAATAACTAGACCCAAGTTACCTTCATATCATCAGAAATGAAGACTTTGCGTGCTTTCTTGATCATAGGCTGAGGTTTCAGCTCCTCTTCGGAGAACTTGTGTTTGCGTGGGTCGAAAACCTCTTGACCTGGCACGCTGGACAGAGCGAGGTCTGCCGGATCGGGCTCGTAGCTCACTGGTATCTGAATGGACTCTGGGTCTACTGGACTTGGTGTGTTACGTGATGGAGGCAAAACTGTGGGAGGAAAAACAATCTATTCATTGCTGACTCCATGGTATAAGTGTAATTCAGTGGTAATGCATTGTAAGAGATGGTGAAAAGGCTGTCATGAGTGTTTCATTCCACTAGGTGGTACACAAGACTTTAATAATAAACAAAGTGCAAATCAAAAAGCTCTAATACTGTCGGGAAAACATCTTTTCTTTTCCTTTCTTGTGAAGACATTTCATGTTTATTGGTCAAAAATTAAACACACTGAGTAATATATAACAGATTTTTTTTTTTTCATTTTACCCAAATTTTAATCATTATTCTCCATTGATATTCCATGTTGAGATTACATTTTCAGTATGAAATTTTTTTTAAAATTTGCTTTAAAGACCTAACGGAACAAGAGATCAACATTTTTCCAGATACAAAATCCACAATTCCAACACTCCTTTTAGTTCTCCATAAAACTATGATTAAATGTTGCCAAATGTTCAGACTAGGAAAAGAGTCGTCGGTTTGCAAATTTTAGTCAGAGGAAAATAACATTATAGGCTAGTTTGAGATTTCCATTCACAAATGAACTCTAACGCTTGGGTGGGAAAATTGAGCAGTTTTTACAATTGACTACTTATTTTTTATGCATCAGAAAAAAACAGCTGCTCAACAATGCTATTTTTTCTTTTCAACTAATTTTTCATTCATTTTTTTTTTTACATACAACATAATATATTGTTGCTTGTCATCACACAAGCACCCAGACAATTTAACAGTGGATATTATTATTATTATTATTATTATTATTATTATCATAGTATCTGTGTTACTTGCCATTCTTAGGCTGGCTTATAAGTAACTTTTTTATATTAATATGGAACAAAATAATATGACAAAGAATAGGAACAGAGCAAACTCCGACACACACTCACTAAACTAAAATACATACTCTGTTTCCCATTTACCACCCACACACTGTCATATTTAGATAGTGACATCTGACCCAGCATAACATCTTTTCTGAGGGTCATTTTTTTTTTTATCTGTGAGGCGAAATGGGTAAGAATTGTCACTGTGGGACAAAGAAGCCATAGTACCTGGTCTGCCCGGGCTGTGGAGGCAGTTCTGAGGAACCATGCCCGTGTGGATGGAGGTGATTGCCTGGCTGCTGAGGTCCATGACTGAGATGGGGCCCTGAGGCATTGAAGCCTGCTGCTGCTGGTGATGGAGGCTTTGGTCATGTTGTGCGGGACTAGAGGGGATGCCATTTTCAGAGAGAAACTCCTCAAGGTCCATATACTCCAACTGAAAGCAGCTGTCTCCATCATAAGACAATGTTTTATCCCAAAGCGTTGGCCCCAAGAAAGCTGATTGAGGAGCGTTTCCTTCTTCCTCCAGCTTTTTCACCTTCTCTCTCTCCTTCACATAGCCTGAAAGAATATTACCATTAGTTAACACATTCATTTTTGGCTCCACTAAAATGTAATGTTTTTTAATTCTCCATGATTTTTAAAGAGGGGTTTTTTATTTTGAGTGACTGTTCTTAGCTGCAGTCACGGCTACGCACAGTAAAGAAATCCATTTTCCACACATTTAACTTGTTGCAGTGACAAATTGCGATATTTACTTACTTTTTAAAAAGTTTTTAGTTTCAACACAAATGTCTTCATTGTTAACGTTCAAAACAAATTACAACTGAACTTTAGTATACTGGTTTTAGTTATATTTTATTCATTTATTTTTGTAGTCCTCTTAAGTTAAAACAAATCTTTATTCAATCAAAAATGTATGTTTCACTGATCTTTAAGGTACTGTCTTAATGGCATTCAAAAATTAAACCATGATTTTAATGTGGAATTTAAAATGGAAGTTTATTCATTAATAAAACACAACACACACACACACACACACACACACACACACACACACACAAAGAGTTAAATGAATCTTTAAAACAGCAAAAACAAATAGCGATTTATTCTGGAGATCACCGCAGGAATCAGATGACAGTTCTTTACAGTAAAAAGTATTATTATTACAAAAAAAATGTATTCTCCGTACGCAGCAATGTAACAAAGTGAAAGCTTTGATCACCTTCATCTTGGTGCAAAGGTAGTTTCAGAGGTTTTTCCAGGAGCGCCTTCAAAACGCCGTTAGTTTGCGGACGTAGGAAAGCTGGATTCATTGTGAGCTGTCTGGACATAATCTCCTGCATTCCCTGCAAAAAAAATTTTTTTTTAAATTTAACTGAAATGAAAGGATATACAAAACAGCGTTCATTCGTCTAATAACGACAAGTTAGGGTAGATCCTGCTCTACAGCACCGGCTTGAAGAGTGTGTGTGTGTGTGTGTGTGTGTGTGTGTAAGAAATGTGATGATCATCACCATGTGTCAAGACTGATGTATGTGACGTCAAGCAGTCAGAGGCGGGGTTAGATGAACACTTTCGCTCCACTTGCTAGCAGTTTAGAGACTGTGTTGCCATATCCTCATAATTATATTTTCTGTGTTTGATATTGGTTTGGATAAAAAAATCTGCTAAATTAATAATGAATGTATTTTTTATTAAGATGCTTGTAAATGCATGCAAGTCTTTTTTTTTTTTTTTTTTAGCATTTTAGCAAGTTAATGCAGAACAGGGGAATGAACAGAAGTGAAAAACTAATGTGCCCAGTGCCCAGTATAATATTACTGATAAATCACTGTCTGACAATGAAGATTACTGTATGTGAATCTGAAAATAATTTTCCGAGGTAATATTTCAGCAGTCATGTCATGTGTGTTTTCTTTCAGCTTTAGAATCAGAACTGGCAAGTTGTCCATGCCTCACTTTAATTCATTTTGATTCACAGTTCATGCACTGAATCGTTTGTGGTTTCTCACTTCTATATATACTGTGTGTGTGTGTGTGTGTGTGTGTGTGTGTGT